GGCTGAGGGTAAAGGTAATATGAGTGGATTTGCTTTCATTTATTTTTATTCTCCATAAGTTAAACCAGTTTTGTAAGTTAGTTAGGTGGTCTTGGAGGTTATTTATGGCAGAGACTAAGTTATCGTCTGCAAAAGTAGCTAAGTTGGTGTTATTTGATTGAGGTAGATCAGCTGTATATATATTGAACAAAGTAGGTGCGAGAATGCTTCCTTGAGGGACGCCTGCTCTTATAAGATGAATATTAGAATACTCTTCCTCACATCGTACTACGAARGAGCGGTATAATCATTGTTATGTGATAAAATGTTAAAGGGGAAAMAAGTAAATATTATGTGAAAACATGTATGAACACAGTGGTAATAATTATATCCTACTTTAATATTATTCAACCTCCCTACATCTAACTGTCTGATCTTCTGATTCTTCAAATACAACTCCCAGAAAAAAAATTCTCTTCAAATATGAATTTATTATATTACTGTCAATTATTTATCATCAGAAGGCAATTTAGAGATTCAGGTGTTCATTTTCTGATAAGTCAGTGTGATTTTCAACGTTTTTAAAGCAGTAACAATATAAAAAATGAATTTTTTAACAGGACCTAACCTATTTCTATGTACATACATAATTTATGACCTTAAGTAATCATCTAGTGACTCCCARTTTGAGAATCATTGATTTACCTAATTATAGATCATTTACAGACTGAAGCAAATTGTTAAAGAATAATTGTTTTGAAAGAGTAAAATATTTTACGGCAGTTATAAAAACTAAACCTAATTAATGTTTCAGTTACATCTTACATATGCACTAACATTATTACTAAAAAAAAAGAATAATAATTATTTCTATTAGCCAGGTCAAGTATAAAAACTAATTAAGACTTACCAATCTATAATGTGTGTTGGACAATTAATAGTAGACTAAWAAAACCAGGGTTAAATAATAGAAAAATGTCTACTTACTTCAAATTCTGAATCACTTGTGATTATGCCACTGACTGTGACTAGTTGATACTCTTTTGCCTTAAACGTGTACATAGATTTTCTTATATGTGTCATAGTGGACATCCCAGCTTCAGTTCTTAATTTATCGTAATGACCACTTGGGTCTAATACTAAAAGCAAAATTGTTCCATCAGATAGTTTTTCAACACCGACTACAGTTCGACTATGACCTAAATAACAACAAATAATATAATTATTTAATGGTGTAAATTATTAGTTTTTACGAAGTGTGCAAAAAACGGTATATTACCTTCATGTTGTATATAAACTGGAGGAATAAATTGTTTTTTTCTATTGCTAAAATGTTCATACAACCAGTGAAACATTTCTGGATGAGTATTTTTCGAACCAGTTGGTTTTCGAAAGTCTATTAATAATGTTCTGAACAATCAAATACATTGAGTTATTAGGAAAATTATATATTATCAATATATAATGAAAAATGTTAATAAGGTAATGTTTTTGTCAGGGATTTTCAAAGAATCAAATCTACTATTTTATAATACAACTTATCAATCACTATTTTAGTGTGTATATTATTTAAAATTAAGTACAAAGTTAAATTTGCATAAATTGTATAGATCAAGTAAAATTAATATTTATTATTTCCACCTAGTTCAAAATAAAACTTACTTAATTTTTAAAGCTGTTAGCATAGTAACAACTTCAGTGGCTCCAATCCATTTTTTTGTATTATACACAGTACCACCAAGTTGTTCTCTACCAGGTTCATCAATACCCATGCTCCATGATTTCTCTAAATGTTGCTGTAATCTTGAAATAGATGGCATCCAAGCACGTGGTAGAGGTCCTTTCTCAACTTCCCATACTCTTGATATGTGTTCATTGTAATCCATTTGTAAAAGCATACTGGACATCAACATTTGCATATTCCTATATCCACATCCCCAACCTTTGTCACCATAAGTTGATCTATAATGGTCAGTCGGAGAAGCCAAATGTAATTCTATTACATTTGGTGACGATGCACTGAAGTGACGAATATATTCAATCAAGTCTAAAACAATTAATATAAAATGAATAAAAACATACATATTAAGCAAATGTATAAAGTTAATATTTAAAATCTGTCAATATTATATAATATTAAATAAATATTAGACATAACAAGTTATGCTCACTGTAAGATACATTATTGCTAGTAGAATCATTCTGAAAATCTCTTCTATAAGAACTTAAAAATGGTGACCTATCATTGTGCATTTTATTTTCTACATTGGTAACACCCGTTGAATTCATGTAAGAATTATATTTCACTGGTACGACCATACTTTCTTTTAATGATAATGAACTAAATGAGCAATCATCAGTTGATTTTGGTTTTCTTAATATCAAAGTAGGAACTGTACAGTTTTTACTGGTACTGAGCAAGTTCAAATCTAGATTACGGCTACTATTTTGGACAGAATTTTTTATTTTTGGTTCACTTAGGTTTTGACTAAATTTATCTTGATAAGATATTGCTGTTTCATTAACACTTAATAGTAACATATTTTTGGAACATTGACTTGATTCAGTTTTTTCAGTAATATTTGAAACTCTGTATTTTATTTTATTCAATTTTTTTCTACACATAACTTGATGACACATCAGATTATTTAAATCAATAGGAATCTTACAAAACTCGCACGGAAGTGTAACATCATTGTTTTTATCATGGCATTTATTTAAAAGATCATTTTTTGTTTGACATTTAGCCTGGTGAGAGTTTACACTTATCAAATCAATCACTTTATTACAAAACTCACAAGGCAAAAATACCGTCTCAGAAGTCATATTGTAAAAATGTCAGATTAAAAATTCTTTAATTTTCACATTTAACAAAAAAAAAAAAAAGAAAATGTATAAAAAACTACAAAATTAAAAAATGAATATATTTTTATGTTTATAACATTATTTAAAATAAGAATAAAGTCGTAAAAATGGTATAATTGTTATGCTATCAAGTACTTATTAATTATTGCCACAATAAAAGATCTTTAACTGTGTTCATTACTTTGGAAAATATAAGAATTAATGACTAATGTATAAAATAAACTGTTTGATATCAATTATAATTACATTGATGTTATTGTAACAATAAAAAAAACATGGTTGACGACTGATAAGATTAAAAAATAATTAGTTGTTATTGTGATATTATGTTTTTTTTTTATACATATATATTATAACCAATTATCTTTGTTTTATTTCTTTTTATAGTAATGAATACTTAAAGAAATAGAAGACAAAATAAAACAATAAAACTTTATAGTTAAGGAAATTATCAACAATAAGAACTTAAATATTAAATACTGAATACAAATGTTTTTCTTTAGTTGTATATTAAAAACTTACAGCTTTCAATAATCATATTATGTGATTTAGTGATTTAGCTATATAACTATGTAAGAATTACATACCTAATAATACTAATAATAGTACATTGAATACATTTAATAAACCACAAATACTGTTATAAAAAAAACAGGCAGGTAAGTGTGTCACAATCTGCTAGTAGTTTACAAGTTTAATCACTGCAATGGATGGTGTTTAATTTGAATTCAATGATACAGTAATATTATTGTATATGAAAAAAGGATTCTGAGGAAAGATAGTTTGTTGACCTAGGATATTTTATATCATATTTATTTTCTTATAATTGTTACAGTAGCGTGTARGGTAGAATTAATATTATAAAACTAAAATTGTTACACACACACAAAATCATTATAAAACCAATATTGGTCTATGCAATGTTTATAAATTATAGAACTAAAATAGTAATAATATAGGACTATTAAATTAAACTAAAACTAAAAATTAAGACAAATAATAAATATCATACAAATGAAATCATAATGGTTAGATTAATGTTAAGGTATTTTTTAAGCTTGGATGGATAATTATTAATATAATAATA